TAAAACCGAAAACAAAACTTTTAGGTAAAAATACAGGGTAAAAAGCTTTATGACATTGGATTTGGTGATGATTTTTTTTGGTAATGACACCAAAGGCACTGGTAACAAAAGAAAAAATAGCCATGCTGGACTTAATGAAAATGTAAAATTTCACTATCCACAGAGTAAAGAGGCAACCCACAAAATGGGGAAAATTCAAGATACCAATGCAAAAGTTACATTGTCATTACGATCTAGTCTCAGTAACTACTTATGATCATTTCTGTTATATTCTACCAGTCACACAGGGAAAGCCCTGATACAGAATTGGGGGGGGGTGCTGCTGTAAAAAAGCATGAGTGCCAGGAGGTGAGGATCCCTGGAACCATCTCAGAGACTGGCTGTCCCAGAACCAATTAACCAAGTGGCCATCCCTGAGCTCACTACATGTCTTCATTCAAAATAAAAGAGTGTACCATAGCTTTTACACCTGTCATTGCCTTTTGTTTTCATACTGCTAGTAAGGAGAGCAAGAAAAGTGGGGGTCACCCTCAAAGAACCCATCCATGTCTCAGGCTAATAGAAGCAAACATTTTGTGATGAGGAAAGTGTCAAGATTCTGTGTTGTATCTTGCAACGTTTTTGCTAAAATCACCCTTTATCTTCACTTGTACCTAAATTGAACACCAAGAGGAAAATATTTCTCCAACATTAGGAAAATGCAAAAAATTGTTCAGACAACCAAGCTGATTTTGGTAAGATCAGAAAAGTGGTAGCACACAATGTTACATGTTGATAGGGAAATTCAAATTCTAAACATGCAAAGAGAAGTATAACCTCCCTAGACAAACAAGTAAACCATCATATTTAAAGTAAAATTTCATGAGAAAGCTTTATGCAAGTCAACCAGTCTCAATTTTATGATATGACAAGATATCAAATAAGCATAATCAATAAGCTATCTTCACTTCAATCTGGTTTACCCTTAGTGGCCTCAAGATAGCTGACTTGTAAATAAATACCCTTACACTTCTATCATTTTCTATAAAACAAGATATATAATGGCCAACCAAGTGTTTTATATATATATAAAATGTATTTTGGGGCTTCCCTGATAGCTCAGTTGGTAGGGAGTCCGCCTGCAGTGCAGGAGACCCTGGTTCAATTCTTGGATCGGGAGGATCCCCTGGAAGAGGGATAGGCTACCCACTCCAGTTTTCTTGGGCTTCCCTTGTGGCTCAGCTGGTAAAGAATCTGTCTGCAATGCAGGAGACTTGGGTTCAATCCCTGGGTTGGGAAGATCCCCTGGAGAAGGGAAAGGGTATCCACTCCAGCATTCTGGCCTGGAGAATTCCATGGACTGTATAGTCCATGGGGTCAGGCACGACTGAGTGACTTTCACTTCACTTCAAAAGTATTTTATTTGGTATCTACAGAGAAAATACAAAGAAAGACAGTAATATCAAAAGAAAAAGAATTAAGAAGCCATAATAATTCACATCTGCCTCTGTCTCTTCATAAAGAGTAAACTGGGAAATTGTAAGCCAAAGTTCTTTAGAAATTTCTAATTCTGTGACTTCCACACCAGTTGCAGAAGTGTATGTGTACCCATGGAACTCTGCTCAATGTTATGTGGCAGCCTGGAAGGAAGGGGAGTTTGGAGGAGAATGGATACATGCACATGTGTGGCTAAATCCCTTTGCTGTCCGCCTGAAACTATCACAACATTGTTCATCAGCTATACCCCAACACAGAGTAAGTTTTAAAAAAGTGTATGTGTATCAAAATGGAGAACTTTACCGATTGAATACATCTGGCCTGGTAAGATCTTGATAGGGTTCATAAAATGCGTTTGGGAATTGTATACAGCTGGATTTTTGTGGATAACTTTTTACTTCAACAGTTCTCAAGACTCACCATATTTTTGTCTTTCCTGAGCTGTTTCATTGTTAAGCAGTCCAGTCAGCTTCTCCTCTTTTTCTCTTTTCTCTTTTGCCCAGGACTCAGCACTTCTCTCACTGTGGACTTTTTTCCATTAACCTATTTTGCATTTGATTAACTTGCTTTGGGCAGCCTTTCATGAATCAATTTTTTGACTGTAGTATGCAGTTACACCCTCTCCTCTAGTGGAAAATTCCAGTCACCTTAAAGGTATTCATTCCACTTGGGTTCAGAATTTTCTTGAGCACTGATAGTTTGGCTTTTCTTCATATCATCATATGGTGAGTTATGAGTATACACCAAGTACTAGGCTATTTCACCTGTTCTTTTGTGATCATCCAAGCTGATAAACTCTTAAATCCCATTTTGGCCTTTATTAGGATTTTCCAGATACTGTTTTTGCTTCTCAGTGAGACAATACCTATAGGAAAAGCCATAATCTGTAAGATAAACCCTATCTGGATTTCTGTAACCCAAAAGTAGATTCACTGCTTTTTTACCATGAGCATATTCATTTTCATGTATATTTTCCAGTACATCCAACATTTGGATACCTAGCTGCAAAACAGTTGCCTTTTTTAAAGTACCATTTTAGTCTGAGATCTTCTATAAGTCCACTTCCCCTGGAGAAGGGCATGGCTACCCACTCCAGTATTCTTGCCTGGAGAATCCCAAGGACAGAGGAGCCTCGGAGGCTATAGTCCATAGGGTTGTAAAGGGTCGGACAGGACTGAGTGACTAAGCACACAGCACAGTCTTTCCATTACCATAAATCTGTAACTTCTTCCCTTGAATTCAGTCATACCAGATCTGTAAAACAGAGGAATTCCTAAATAAGCATGTAGTTTGGGTTCTATCCACCTTTTGATAGTATTTTTTGGGGAGCTATTTGAAAAAAATTTCAATTCTGATAGTAGCCATTTTCTTGATATTCTGCTTTTATTTTGTATATCCTGTCTTTATCAGGTTTACTTGTGCATACATGTCCAGTCACTTCAATTGTGTCTGACTCTTTGAGACCCTATTGACCATAGCCTGCCAGGCTCCTCTGTCCATGGGATTCTCCAGGCAAGAATACTGGAGTGGGTTGCCATACCCTCCTCCAGGGGATCTTCCCAACCCAGGGATCAAACTGACGTCTCCTGTGTCTCCTGCATTGCAGGTGGATTCTTCACACACTGAGCCACCCGGAAAGTCCAGTTTCTTTGTTGGGAAAGCTAAATATATCAAACCAAATTCTCCAGAGCCAGTCATCTTGCTCTGTACCCATTGTTCTCCTTCTGTGTCATACAGAACCTTGCCTTTTGGAAGTGGAGCGGGCGTTTGTATCTCTCATTTCTTCTTGGTGGCATCACTTCAACCACGGAAGCAGGCACCGGGGCAGAGTGTGGTGTCTCACTCCAGTGCAGCTCCTCCCTGAGTCTGGGGCACATGCAGATAGCAGGGACCAGAAGTGAGGGGACCCGGGACTCAGGAGTGAGAGAAGGCCAAACAGTCCCTTGGGCCCCCACCGCCAGGGGCCTGGCAGGCTTGAGGACCAGAATTTTGTATTCTTGAGACCTGTGTCACTAGCTCAAAGTTTCTCAATCTATTGAGATACCTGATATGTAAAAATGTTTTTTTGTTTGGGGAGTTCCCTGGTGATCGAGTGATTAGGACTTGGTGCTCTCAATGCCACTGCCTGGGTTCAGTCCCTGGTCAGGGAACTGAGATCCTGCAAGACCCACAGTGAGGCAGAAAAAAAAAAAAATTTTTTTTTTTTAAAATTTTGACTTTATGTCTCTAATCAATTCTGAATATAAAGATCCAGAAACTGTGATCCTGAACATCTAATAACTGTCATGACCCTTCAGAGTCAACAGTGGAATGCTGGATACCGTAGGGTCTGTCTCAGACAGGGAGAGAGAGAACCAGTATGCAAAAGGAAGAGAAAGATGACTGTGTTTCTCTCTTATCCAGAATGATCACCCGAGGACTTCCCTGGTGATTAAGAATTCACCTGCCAGTGGAGGGGACGTGAATTTGATCCCTGCTCCAGGAAGATCCCACATGCCCTGGAGCAGCTAAGTCCATGCACCACAACTATTGAAGATTGCACTCCGCAAGAGAAACCACCACAATGAGAAGCCCATGCCCCACAAGGAGAGAGCAGCTGCAACTTGCTGCAACTAGAGAAAGCCCACAGGTAGCAACGAAGACCCAGGGCCACCAAAAATAAATATGAATCAATAAATGGAAAGTCTTTCTTCAAATGAAGAAAGAACTGGAGTCTAGCTGATCAGGATAGCTGAGAGGAGGGGCTTGTGAGAAAGGAGTACCATTCACTGTGTGACATGCATCTGTCAGGCAGTGGTGTCCGGATGAAGAAGCCAAGTCTCAGGCAAGTCGAGTAACTTGTCCAAGGTACACAAAGAGCCATTTGTGATTGAAACTGATGACTGACTCCTTCTACAAGCCTACGTGCACTCCTGGGCCAAGAATGTGTGAGAATTTATGACCTGAGCAACCTGGATTTTCACCCCACGGCCAACCAAACCACCCACGAAACCTGTAGAAAGCTGGGATTCTATTTTGTGACATATTCAGTGCAGCTCCAAACCAAATTGGGACAGTTTTGTAACACTGCATCTTATTAAAATTGGGGCTAACACAGTGGGATTGATTTGAGGAGCCCTGCCTTAGTAGGATATTCAAACTGGTTCCTTCTCTCTGGATGAGTCTCTGAGAGTTCCTAGAACCTGGGGAGAGTAAGGGAGGATCTAGAGCCTGCCTTCTACACCAGGAAATCCTGGTTTTGCTAAGAACTTGGTCGAAGCTTTGGTGGTGTTAACATGAAAGACAATCCACAGTTGCCGTTATTGCTTGATAGTCTCTGAAGAACTAACTGTGTCTGTATGCCAGAATATTTACTAGGAGGCTCCTTCCTTTATGACATCACCAGGCAGGTAGCTAAGGGGACTAGTAGAGACACCTGGAGAACAGCAGCCACTTTCGTGGGCGTGCAAGAACAGCGGCTTTTAAATCTGAGGATAAATATTCAAGCTTTGTTAGGACCCTGAATACAAGCCAGCCGGTAAAATATGGGCTCTACCCAAAGAGGCACAACATATCATGTGGTCAAGACAAATAAAACTGGGTCCAGGGTGGCAGTTTCAGCACAGAAAGGGGCCGAGGTTGCTAGCACGACCCCTCAGCGGGGACAGGGGTACCTTGTCTCCTCGAGTCAGCGGAGTGGCCCAGCCTCCACGATCGTGACAGGCCATCGAAGATCAGAAGCTGGGCACGCCACTGCTCTCCATTTATCATCAGACTACCTTCGCTCTAGCTCCCCTCCGTCAGGGCCTGGCCCCTCTGGAGCACTCAACCCTCGATCCGAGACCCGATCCAGAACTGATACATCCTGCCAGGCCTCTCCTCCTCGAAAGCTGATTCAGGGCGAGTCGGTGCCCTACACCGGTCAGGTGCATCGGAATGTCAGTCCGTCCAGAGAGGAAGCAACTAGAAGAGGGGTTGAGACCAGGCCAGGGCGTGACATGAGTAATCGTTTCTCGCTAATTCCAGAGGCCAAATCCTCTCGCCGGTTGAGTTTTGTCGACCAGAAGGATGACTTCATACTCTTAGAAGATGAGCCACCCTCCAAGGTCCAATACCCACAAGGGGTCAGAGTTCCCCGGAGGCCTTTGATTTGCCCAAAGGATGAAGCAGTCCAAACTGAGCCCATTCGAAAGAGTGTGACTGCTGGGGATATCAGATGTCCAAGGAGACCCCTTAGCCCAGAACGTGGCGGCAACCGCATCTCTCCAGACTCTCGGTCACCCCAGAGAAGAATTCCTGGGCCAGAATATGAAATGGGCCGTCAGAACTCAATTTATGCAGAACCTAAGGCCTTGCATAGAAGTGTGAACGTGGAATCCTCCCTCACACTCTCTGTCCTTAAAGATTTGAACAGTGGACACAAGGCTTCTGTGTGCCCTGAGCCTGAGCCCGTCCACAGGCCCTCTGTGTACAACGAAACCAAGTCCTCCCCAAAGGTTTTAATACCATCACAAGTGGAGCCCAGCATGAAGCCCTCAATGCGAGGAGAGAGTGAGGGTGGTCGCAGGGTTACCATCTCCCCCGGGGCACAGTCAGCTTCCCGTGGAACGTCTCGAGCAGCATCTGAGAGCCCCTTCAAATCCTCGGCCTTTGTCAGTCTGGGACCCTTCTATAAGCAACATACCACAAAACGTTCAGACAGTATCTACGAGTTCACACGACCCACACTTAGGCCTCCAGAGCCCTCTTCTAGAAAGCACTCGATCCACGCAGAGCTGGAACTGACCCCTAGGCCCTTGCCCCCTCGGTGCTTACCGAGATACGGGCCAGACTCCACGTGGTGGGCCTTACTCAGCACTGAAGGTGAAATGCCCAACAGTCGGCCGATAACACCTGATTTCGAGCCCAAGTCCCCTCCTCCCCCAGACCCTTCACTGCCTTTTTTCGAAATGGAAACCAGCCCTTTCTGTGAGGATCTGATGTTCCAGAGAGAGAAGGCAAGTCCATCACCACTATCATCACCAAAGGAGTCTGCGAGTCCGTCACCATTGAGGGAAGTGCCACAGGCCCCCAAGCACACCTCCAGACATCCCACTCAAAGGTTTAGTGTTTTCTTCATGGGTATGTGCAGAAGCAGATTGCCCAGGTGCAGCCCCGATTTAGTGAGGTGGGATGCTGGGGTGGGAGAACATCCCCCCTCCTCATTCTGGGCCTCAGAGCTGCCCTCGCGCCAGTGCCAAAGCTAGACCCATCCTTGAGCCCATTGCTCCCTTCCTTCCCCACCAGCTTCTCTGAGCTCCAAGCTAATGAGGCCGATGACGATGCTTGGGCCGGCGTCAGGCACTGACTCTTCCAGGCAGCGCTGCTTAACCTTTCAATGGAAGGTAGTAGAGAGTGGTCTGCAGGGTGGGAAGCTACTTCCCAGGGGCGGAGACGAAGAGCTGAGCGGGGTGAGGGCTGGTAACGAGAATAAAGGTCCTCGGGTAAATATTCTGGCAACCAAGTGGAGAAGGCGGGGCGTAAATGAGCTGGGACTTAGGTTTCTGAGAGGGGAGAGGCGTTCACAGTGGCACGAGGGAGGGTGGGGAGAAGGTGGAGCAGCAGAGCGGGAACGCGGCATTTGGTCTTAGGTCGGAGGAGCTTCTTGGGGAGAGCGCCAAGGGCTGAGGGCAGCTTTGGGTGGAGAAATGTAGAGCTAGGAAGGGAGACCTGAAGTAGTGAGGGGCGGGGGGCGCATCCCACAGAGAGAGAAAAAAAGCAAAAATCTCTGTTACTTTCAGATGTCTCTGAGGAAATGTACAATCGTGTCTTCTGGTGGCTAAAAGGTCTGTGCTTTTCCCTCCCGCGGGTCCGCTTTGTGGGGCTGGGGGCAGGAGAACAGGTGGGAGGGCAGCCTCTGAATCCCAGAGCTAGGTCTGTCAGCATGGTGCCTGCCGGGGCTTTGACCTCAGCGGGCAGAGGAACTCCTCACTTTGCCTAAAACCCTACCATTAGAGTCATTCGTTTGGGACTTGGAATCTCTCTCCATTTTCAATGATGTAAGCCCATGGCCTTTCAGACAAGCTGGTCTTAACCTATCGTGTGATTAAAAAGCAAATGTCAAAAGCCCCACTAACACAAACTACCTGATCACGGTCTTCCTCAGGACTAACTCCAAACTAATGCAGCTTGAGGGGTCTCCTCTTGTGTCTCTCTGCTTCCTCAGAACCCTCCTCAAGACCCCCACCCCAGGACCAGGGAAGTACTTACTGGCTGTGGCCGAAGCAGGATTTCCAGGGATGTCTAGGCAAAAGCCTTAAGAACATCAGTGGGTCTTCAGCCAACTGGAGAACCCCCAGGGTCTGAGCCCACCCCCTGTTAACTTTGTGATTTTGACCTCTCTGGTGGGAGGGAAGGCCGGGGTCAATCTTAATACAGAGTACCTTAGTGCCAAGGAATTCCTGCTTCATGTGTTGTGGACAATAGAATCCAGCCTGTGAGTGTGAGGGAGGCCAGGGCTCTGGATGAAGATGTTTCTAGAAAGGGGAGAGCTCTGGGATGCACTCCCAGTCCCTGCCAGCAGCTCTGCCCCCCAGAGGGAGCAAAGCTCCACAAAGGAGAGGTTTTTAGAATAAGGACTCGAGCTATATTACTGGGTGTGAGCCCTGGTCTCTCTATTTTCTGACTGTGACCTTGGGTAAGTTATTTTATCTTTCCAGTCATTAGTTCCCCCATCTATTATTGGCTTCCTTTGAAGGTTCTTGCAAGGCCTCGCTAAGCGATTACATGTAAAGCTCAGCGCTCACTGTGCCTGGAAACTTGCTAGCTGTTTTCACTTGGGCCACTTTGGACTAGGAAGGAATTTGGGCCAGGTTATGCCCAAGTCCACTGGATGTCTTTAGTAAAATTCTCTTTTTCCCCTCCTCTTGGCACTCTCTGAATTCCATTTGCTGCCCCCTGGGAATGCCTGGCTTCTACTCTCTCCATTATGACAGATGAGGAGGTAAGAACGCCCCTGAGAAGTTACTTCCAGTCTTCCTGTGCTCCCCCAAATCCAAATGCCCCTCTCACCCTTTCATGGAAGCAGATATGAAAGGAGACAGACAGAGGTGCTCCCTGTGGTTGAGCAGGTTGCTCACTGCACATGGGTACCTGGCAGAGAGGCAGGGGCTGAAATCCAGCGTGTGTTCCACTTGCCAAGCTGGGCACCTATGGGGTGGCATCTCCAGGGAGACATTCACACGAAGGCACCAGAGCTCACTGCAACACTGGAGAGGAAGAGTAGAGACCTTTTGGCAAACGACGAATCCTGCCAGGTTCTCCTTGGGAAGACTGTCTGGGGAGCCATAGGTTGGATCTGTCCCCACTTGGCTGTCCCCTCTCTGGCCTAGGGCTCTCCACAAGGGGCTGCTTTTCTGGGTTACACACTATTCGAGTCCTTAACTTGGAAAGGGACAAGGTGAACTCTGCTCTCGGCAGCCCCGTGTCCTGAATTTGGCAAAGAGTGTCCTGATTTCACAGTGTGTTGTTCCTCTAAGTACTTTCATTCTTCTTGACCCGCGTTTGATAAGACAGTCCAAGCTCTCTTGCCTTTATTCTTTCTCTTGCCTTATCTCTCCCTTATCCAAAGCCCAGCATGGCCTGTAATGGGTCCTGCTCATGGACTAGCCCAGGATGGATGGTTGACTGCAGATGGAAAACAAATGAGATGTGTGTGTATATAAAATTGGGGGGCAGAACAGCCTGAACTCCGATAATGGCATAGCTGCAGGGGAGGTGCCAGGAATGGGGCTGCCACCCCCTCTGCCTTGCTGCTTATCTCATGCCCTACCCGGAGCTCAGCTCTGGGTGGGAGCAGCTTCCTTTAGATTATCTCCATGCAAGACAGTACTCCTTCTCTCTCCTGCCTTTCTCCCTCCCTTCCTTCCATCAGCAATTTTTATCAGAAGCTTAGCACTCTGCTAGGCACAGTTGGGGAAACCATCTAAACTGCACAATACACATGTTCTTTGGCTTACTGTCTGGATGGGGAGATAAGACATGGACAGAAAATATTTCAACAACAATATAAAATCATCTGTGCTTAATGTTCAAAGAAATGCAACAGACTGAAGAAGTGCTCTTGGAGGGTCTTAGGTGGGAGGGAGTCAGCAGGGAATTCAGGGGGGAGGTGGTCAGGTTGCCCACTCTTTCCCATAGCCAGGGCTCAGAAAGCTTAACAGCCAGCCTCTTGATCCCCTCTTGATGCAAATCTATACCTCTGGGAAGGGGTTACATTTCCCCTTATTCTGGATGGGATGCTTCTGACAGAGCCAGTCCCTCCCTGTTGGTCTCCACCCTCACCCTCTTTCTTTATGCATCTTGTTTTAGTTTAGGAAGTCAAAAGCCTTGGCAGCACGACGGCTTCTTCCCAAAATAGCTCTTATCCTGTCTCCATAATTGCAGCTCTCCAGCCCTGCTCAGCAGCAGAGCTGTCCCCAGAAGCCGGCAAGAGAAGTCTCTCTGGCCGGCAACGGGGCCTGCCAGTCTTCTCCGGACTCTGGAAGTGGGTGACACAGAGGTGGGCCTGGTACTCTCCTCACAGGACACGCAAGCGGGAGGCCGTCCTCAGACTGTCCCCCGGCGGTGTGGTCCCAGGATGGAGACTCTGGGGAGCTGGTGTCGTCTGGCCCCTCTCCTCCAGAAACCAGGCAGACTGTGGAGTCTGTTCCAGATTCCACTCCCGGCAGGAAGTCTCTGGTGGCCCCACCACGGCACCGGGCTTGTGGACAGCAGCCTGTTGTGGAGCTTCATGAAGCCTCCAGGGTCCATAGCTGGGGACAGAGCGTGATTCCGCCTATCTCTGTCTCTCCGTCAGTCTCCTCCCAGGCGGTCCCTCAAAGCTTTTGTCTAAGGAGCAGGACAGACAGATGCTTCTCATCCTTGGATTGGGACTTTAGGGATGGAGTCTTCCTGGAGGAGGTTAAGCTGGACTGAGAGAAACACTCCTGAGGGGTTTTGTTTTGGTTTTGTTTTGTTTTGGTATCAGAACTAGCAGCAGCTCAACTGGAAGGTCCTGAGGGTGCCTCTGGGGTCAGCAGGGGCTGTCTTCTCACACAGCCCTGGGGGAATTCCCTGGAATAAAGTAGTTCTTGTTGGGAGAGGCTGCCCTGGTCCCAAGAGCCTGTGTCCTTGAGGCAGCTAACTGACTTGCCCTCGGATGTGCCTTCTCGGACTGTCAGGGGACAAGGGGGTTTACTCCCTGCCACATCCATCAATGAGGCGAGGAATCAACTCCGGAAAACAGGCCAGGAACTAGAGGAGGCTGTTTCAGGATTCCCTACGGTAGACCAGTATCTTCAGGGAGCTGTGTCATTTGGCCTTGGGGATGCGATGGCCAGCCTCCCATCGGCTCTGGAGCCACAAGGAAGCTTTGCTCAGGGAGAGCAGCTCAGGAGGCTGTGTTCCCGGGACGTTAGTGGAATCCTCGGATATGGGCTCTCTGGAAGGAACCCCAGAACCAGCTTCCCACTAGCCTCATTTTCTCTTGCTGGATACAGAGACTTAGAGTTGAGAGGAAAGGGGGTTGTTGAGAGGATGGAGCAGAGCTGCTGAAAATGGGGCAGGACACCTTGGGAGGCTTTTTATGGCAGCCTGGCCCTCACCACCCCGCTGCTTTTCCTGTCAGATGTTACCCTGTTCATTGCAGCTACCACCAGCAGCCAAATCGAGAGCAGGTGGGAGGCTGGTGACCTCCGGCCCAGGCTCGCTATTCTAGGGACAGGCTAGGTTGACCAACTCCTCAGGGTTTGCCCTGGCCGTTCCTGACTTTCGCAGTGAAAGTGCTGCATCCTGGGAGGTCCCTGAGTCCTGAGCGAGCCTGGACAGTGGGTCGCCCTAGGACAGGTGGTGTGGCACCTCAGTGGGCGCCTCTGGCAGCACAGGGCAGGGGGTGGTGCTCTACCTCCCGTGGGAGACGCAGGCAGATCACTTCCTCTGCCTACAAAGTGAGGGCAGGAAGATGCTATGCCTTCTTCGCCAGCTTGATGGCAAAGTCCTTTCGTTTTTATAGTCCGCCCAGAATGAGCACACATAGGGAAGAATCTGCCGCATCTGTTTCGGACTTTCTAGTGCATTTCCAGAAGCTACTTGGTTCCCTGCCCGGAACCCATCTCCAGCATCACACATTTCTGTTGGAGTGTTTTGGTGGTGTTTGAAATGGTGAGTTTTTCAAGAAAGATGAGAGGCAGTGGACCCCAGCCGACTAGGGAGCTTCGCTTCAGATGCCCACTTGGATGCGGAAGAAAATCAGTAATGCAGAAGCCATCTGACAGCTGTTCAGCCAGGGGAAGGCTGCCCTGAGCGACAGAAATGACCGTGTCCCTTCCCCCGCCTCTGCTCAGCTGCCTTTGGCCCAGCTGCTGTTGGTGGGGGGCGGGAGGGTGGTGAGAAGCAAGAGACAGCTGCACCTTGGGGACTGAGGGAGGCCTGGAGGAGGGGGACAGGATGCGAGGCAGTTCCTGAGGGGAGCGCTGACTCCGACACTGGGCGGGCGGACTGGGCGGGACAAAGCCCTTTCCTCCGCACACCTACCGCTGGCAAAATCATCTAGCTCCAGGGATCTCAGCAGTGGCTGTTTTGGGGAACTCAGTTCAGTAAGTCTGAAACCAAGACCTGTTCTCTAGAGATAGAATGTTGGCTAACTGGAGAAGCTGACTCCACAGTTGGTGGCAGTATGGTCATTCCAGTGTCACTTGAAGGCTTTTCTCCCATCCCTCTACACCCATTACACAAGCACGTGCCTAATTCTTTGGAGGGAAGGCATTTGAAATAGTCACAGTTGACAGTTGCTGGTGTGGTGTTGATAATTTTGGTGTTAGCTGAGATAGTAGCCACCATTCATTTTAGTGATTCACCCAACAC